AAAAAATAATTATAAAAATTAAACTATATATATATTATTTGCTTGAATTTGATTGGCTAGTTTAGTATCAGGTGGGGAGGGGTACCCTCTTAAGAGGTGGAAATCACCTAATAAATGTCTATACCCTAAGTTTTAATAAACAAATTTAATTAGTAAAATTTTTAATTGCAGATCCGTATATAATAGATAGATTTACTATAGTACAAATCTTATAATAAAAAAAATACAAGTATAAATATTTATGATAAAAAATAACTATTGGCTATAATTAATTACACAAACTATACTTGCTATACACAACCTGAATCTCTACCATGCTGCCTGTATTTAAAAATCTATTATTGTTTAATAGTTTAAAATATTTTATATAAAAGAAAGAAAGATTTCATAATAGTAATATGTATCAATTTCATATATAATTATACTTTAATTACCAACTTTTTGGTGCTTATATACTAAAGTATAATCATTATTGGCTTCTGTAAGTGCTTATTCTAATGCTTTTTTTTTGAAGCCTGCACTATATCTTCAAATTCACCTTTTAATAGTCTTTACTGTTGGAATTTCTTTAAACAAAAGTTTACCATTTCTAGCCAAATCTTCAAGATCGGTATGCATATCTTTAGAGAAGTAACAATCTTTAGTTTTTAAGTTATCTGCCAAAAAAACCCCTGCAAATATTGTAATACTTTTTTTGTAATGTGTTTTCTTGCATCTTTATTGCTATACTTTATATTTTCTTTTAGAGTCTAGTCTACAGTTAAGAGAAACTCCTGATTAATACTATAGAAGTAGTGATTAGTTTGAAAAAATTATATATAATAATAAAATATATCTAATTATCTTACATCTTTATAAAATTTTAGGCATTTATTCATTATCGTTAAGAAACAAAATATCAAGTTAACAGAAAGGTATATATATTTACACACTTATATACATATGTCATATATACGTATATACATTATATATATATATAAATTATTACCTCTTGTAATATTGGACATTTCAGCCAATTCATTAACTATACAAGGACAAATCAATTCAATTTATAGATGGTTAGTATAAACTACAATAATATATATAGTTATTAGTATGTTATCTAATAATAATTCTTTATTTATCAGTAATTCTGGAGTTGGTATTATCTATACTAACTTTGATATAAATGATATAAAAAATGTTGAAGAGGTCTTTTACAAAATAGTGAAATCTGTGCAGGTTGAAAGTTTTTTCACACTTCTATATAAGAAAGAGAATAGGCACAAATATATCTTGTGAATTTACCTGTTATAGGCCAGAACCACTCAACCATTTGGAAATACCAAATATAGTTCTAGATTTTTTGCTAGTATTAGTTTCTGGTTCCTGGCTAATTATCAAGAATATAAAATTAGAGTATAGATTGAAAAAGAATTTTGATTAAGTAAAGTGTATTTTTATTATTATTAACAAAAACTATAGTTTTGGTATTTTAATTTCAAAGCAATAAGAACCTGTATAATTATTATATGCAGGTTTTTACTGTATTATTATTAATTACCAATATTTGTTATTTTAATTTTAATAAAGAAATTACTTTAATAATTCTGAATCTGGTTCTATAGTTTTGATTACAATTTGGCTCTATGTGTGCTACAGATATTCCACTCAAATTTTGAAGTACTTTTTCAATATTTGTCTCTTCAGTAAAATTACAACCAATTCTAATATACTTTTTAATTGTATATATAATCTAAAATTGATATTGTTATTAGTAAAACACAAGAAAACAAAAATATTTTATTGAAAAAGTAAAATTGTTATATTGAAATAGCACATTTCGAATACTGTTTAAATTACCATTTGATCTATCATTTACTTTATTTATAATTTGAGTTTTATATGATATATCAAGTGCTAATTTGAACTATATTTAGAATGTGTTTTTTTTTCCTTTTTTTTTTTTTTTGAAAAAATTTTAACTATTGTATATTAAATCTACTTGCAGTTGCATAATAAGAATCAATAGTGGTTTTGGCTTTTCTAGGTTCAAAAAAAATCCACCTATGTACTTCTATATTGTACCAGTTATGCTAATAACTAATAATTGATATTAATTCCGAGTTATGATAGTGTCCTCCATTATCTAAAATAATTTTAATTCAACATGGCCTAGGATCTATTGTCATAAATACTGCTTCAAAGCATGATGCAGTAAACTATGCATCCTGTTTGGTATCAATATTCCAATAATCATATACACAAATGTCCAAATTACTGCTATTTTTTTTGTTTTTTCGAAATACCAAAGTCATATAAAGCATCTATTCTTTCTTCCTAAAGAACTGGCTTTTTGTTTCTTAAATAAAATTCACATCTTATAATTGACTACAATAACTGCCCTATTGTTATCAAGCTCACATAATATGTAATTAAATTGTACACTTAGATATGTTTTATAGTTTTGATATATTAATTGTTTTTAATATTCTGTAAGCTTTGCATGATATGAGATATCTATTTTATTTATTAGTTTTCGAATATGTTAAAGAATTTGTCACATTCTAAGCATCATGAAAAATGCTAAAATTTATATTTACCAAAAGCAAATGACAAACAATAATAATACAATCTACATGATCAATTGTATTATCTTTATTTATGATTAATTCTTTTTCATAATTTCTTTTTAAGCGATAGCACAATAATTCTATTTTATTAATAAAATCACTCTACAAAATTATATAGGTTTGTTAATATTATATAACAGAAATTTTTTTAATATTTGACTAACCTGTATTGATTTTAGTATTTTGATTCTATTTTCAAAAGGCTATTCAGATTAAATTCAGATCCTATTCAACATATCTGGTTTATTCAAATTTTAATTTGGATTAGCAAATTCAGATTCAATTTGAATTCAATAGTGAGAATCCTATATAGTGATTAAGTATTTAATATGTAGTGTTTCAATTCTATTCTTTAGATTGAATTTGAATTCTCTTTACAGTATTCGATTACAACTGTTTTTATAAATTCAGAGATACTTGAAACATTGCCTATAACCGAATCAATAAGTTTTTGATATTGGCCAATATCAGTATTTTAGCTTGGTAACTTATTGATTTAGTTATCAGAAAATTTTTTAGCTATTTCAAAATTTATGAAAACAGCTGTAATTCACCAACAGCTCATTTCACCAATAGTTTATTTCACTGACAGCTTATTTCACAAAGTAATTCTAGTTATTATCAAGTTAGAATTAGAGTTAAGGTTTGTGTAATTTATAAAAAAAACTTGGCAGTGAAATAAGCTGTTGGTGAAATAAACTGTTGGTGAAGTGAACTTGTCAGTAAATTACAGTAGTATTCGAATTTTACAGTTATCCTTAATCTGATATTTATTGTGAATCTATCCATTAAAATAAACAGATTAGGATATCTGTATTTAATTCAAATTATCAAATCAATTCGAATTGTCAGATTACAGATTGAAATGCTAATTAATTTATATGAAATGCTCTTATTACTGTATTTATCTGCCACGAGTACTTGGGGTATTTCCCTTGTTCGTTTTAGTACCTGGGTGCACATGTAGAGGGATATATTGTATGGATATGAATATGTTTTATTATGTTTTCCCAAGTACAGAAGCATGATAATATCATACTTAGGTACCTGGATATAAGTAAAAAATTGGCTATCAAAATCATTACAGGGTATATTGCACGAAGGGTCTACATGTTAGATAAATATGATAATTATTTCAATTAAATTTTCAAAGAGTTGATACTTATGGTTATTACATATAATATATAACTCTTCTAAGTTTTCCTGATATTGAAAATGACTATATTGCAGACGGGCCATGAAAGATATATGTTTCATTCTATCTGAATAAATAGCAGAAAATTTTTTCCAAAGCACCTCTTTTTGGTTTTTTAAATAAAGTACTGGTAATTGTGTTTTTTGATCTACTTTATAAAAACTTATGTTTATATTTTTTTTATCAGTAAAGAATAATTCAAATTCTTTTTCTTTAACAATAGATATTTTTGAGTGAGTAACAGTAGATCTTTCTAGTGCAACGCACCCAGGTCTATTAATATGAGAAAATTTTTATGCCATATTAATTATATTAAGTAATATTTAAATTTGAAAATTATTATTTTGAAATTATATATTGTTATTAATCTTAATATTTTTTTATTTTAGAAAAAAGTTCAAGCTATTATTTACAGATTTGATTTAAATAAAATTTCTTACTTCTAGTTTATCTATTAATTTTTGATATATAAAATCTTTTGTAATAATTGACAATATACAAACTCTTCTATGTATTCTTTTAGGATTTGCACTATAACTACTATAAAAACAATTCTACAATGTCTTATTAGATGAGTTTGATTTATCTGAGGAAGTTTGTAATGATATATTTAAAAATCTATCCTTGTATAGATCTTTAAAAGTATTGTAATCTTTTTTAGAATTAGGTGCATTTGTCTAAAATTTTATCTATATTATTTATTTGGTTTATTAGTTGCTTTTCAGTTATTGTTTTTATGCTATAAATATTGTAAACTGTTAATTTACAGATTCTTCTTGACTTATATCTAGTGATAACTTAGAGGTATAAACTTTTGACTTTATAACAATTTGATTAATACTCTCACAAATGTTTTGGATATGGTATTAGCTATTGTAAATACTCAAATATTATGCAGTTTACAGTATTATATAAGAAAAATATACAATTTTAATATAAAAAGAATTGATAAATATATAGTGAAATTTTAGAATAAGTTAGAATATTCTTATTATCTGAAGTGTGAAGCTAATATTCATAAATTTTTAATATTAAATTTAGATAAGCTTAAATTATTTTCTATAGTGATATAATTATATTAGAATTTGTTATATTAATATAATATTTTAGATCAAATTTGAGATTACTTTCTCTAATATGAAGATTTACAAAACTTTCTTATATCAAGAATGAATCAAGCATCACTAAACAAAATTATATAAGTTTAATTTTAGATATTTGTATGCTGTACAAACTAAATATTTTAAATATTAGATGATAATAATAATTTGAATTTTTATTAATAGTATTTTTCATTCAAATCTAGGTGAGTCTTGACTACTCTAGTAGGTTTAGGTCACAGATAAATTAGTCTGAGCTTTTATTTTTGCATGTAGTTTATATTTATTCATTTATATATAAATTAAGTTTTTATTTAGTTTTGTTTCTTTATAATTACTTATATAAATTACTCAATAAAGATATGAGCAAGGCCTTATCTTTTAATATTAAAAAAAAAAAAAAAAAAAATTAATAGTATGCTTCATAATATTCATAATTCTAATTATTTGACTTTATTTCATTATATTTAAAATATAGAATTCACATTTGTTCTAGACAAGCTAATAAGTCTATATTTCATAAAGTGAAGTGTATCATTTAATTTCATATAATTTTGCTTAGCAGTTTTAGTATTTTTTTTTTATATTAAGCGGTCCTGCCTTTATTTATTTTTTAAACTACTATATGACTATTATACAAAGTACTATATCAAAATAGTATATCGCTCTACTCTAATAAAAACTTACCAGGCTTTTAGCCCAATGCGACCTGCCATAACAACTGTTTATCTCTCTCAGGATTTCTAACTTACTAAGAATTTCGTATCGATTAAAGATACCCCTTCGATTATCAATTGGCCATTGTATGCCATGTCAGTAATACTTAATATTTGGGTGAACTTTGGTTAGTGAAAACCATGCTGGTTTATTCCCCTATGCGATCCACTCTTCAACCATTTTTTTTACCTCATATTTACCCTTCTTCGACTTGTTTTTAGCTCCTTTGTTTCTTTTAGTATGTTCTGAGCTTTGTGGATCGCTATTCTCTTTGTCTGCCTCGTTTGTTGCCTCTTCCTTCTTTTTTTTTATTCTTGGTCCTCTTCTCTATCTTTGCAATACCATGTTCTTCTTCCCATTCAGCTACCAGGTCACAGCGAAAGCACCAAATATGCTTGTGGAAACAGTCTCTGACGTGGTCAAGAATCACTTGGCTGAACTTGCTAACTACTGTTGAATTCTATAGAATTAAGTGTATTTTATCTATTCTTTGCTTCATGATTAGGCCTTTCATTAGTTCTCTTCGTGTTGCTAATCTTTCTTGTGAGTCACTTCCAAAGATCATGTTCTCTATTACTTTGGTGTCTGAGAACTTAGATCTGCTTTTTCTTTCTTGGCCTTTTCTTTAAATAGGATAGTTCTCTCCGCTTCGATAATGCTCTATAGTCGTTGTAGTTCTGAACATTCTGCCAAATGATCTTGTGTTTCAATTTTTTTCCGCTAGCATATCTTGTATTTGTTATCTGGGTAGATATCCGCTCTTCTTTGGTATAGAGTTTG